CGTGCTAACTACATTTGCATACAAGACAAAATAGGCAAGAAAACTACCAAAAGCCTGACTAAATATTCCTGTTTTCAGATGAGGTATCTATTTCTCTATAATAATCCCAGAAAATTAAGAGGCAGAAGAAACTAGAAATTAGCCACCTTAAAAAAGGAAGGTCATGGTGCATCTTAAGTCAAAAAAATTTACAGAGCAAGCAGTTAATGAGATTTCAGGACTGTACTAACGGAGAAATCATGTCAAAAAGCATTAATTCAACTGGTTATACATGTCCTGCTTTGATCCTACCCACACAGAGAGAAATTATTAAGAGCCAAACTAGATGGAAGAGTTAAAGAATTAAAATTCCACCCAAATAGCTTTCAAAATTCCTGCCAGTAAGTAGCAAGATGCTTTGCAGTAGTCAAACTGATACGGTGAAAAATCCACTTGCTGGCATGCTTTAGTTAGTTTTAAAAGTGTCCTTCTAAATAGTATTTCAGCTCTCTGTGTTTGCTACCTCCTTTACATAAAGTAATGTGGAAGAACTTTTATTCCTGCAATCAGAATCTTGCATGTTAGTATTTTAGATATTTTCCTGCATGCCAAGTACTTTACAAGAAGACCGTGTGATGCATTTTATTTCAGCAATTCTGACTACTTTTCATGTTAGAACAAAATCCTTCCAACTTTGAACAACTCAGGGCCTTGGGAAACTTCTGAATATCTCAATTATTGACCGACACTTCTCTGTAGTGGAGTTCTCCACAAATAAACAGTATTACATAGAAGTGTCGCACTTTAAAACTGCAACTAGTTTGCATTTAGAAGTACAAAGCGGACAGGTCTTTCCAATCACGACCTTAACTCTGCTAGAAATTCTGCCTGAAAAAAAAAAAGAGAGGGCTCTAAGCATTCGTCTTCAACAAAACCCCAAAAACCAGGCTGGCAAGACAGCTCTCAATGGGCTGGTGAATATCTGCAAACCTGGAGCTACATGTACAGATCAAATACACCAACAGTGTATAAAGTCTAATATGACCTAAACCAGAAAGGAAAACCAGCTACAAACATGTAGGTTTTAAAACCTTTTTGTCATGGTTTCTCTGGTATAAATCGGTATTTTAAATAGACGCAAAAACATTGGGTTTTTTGCTTAAAACTGACTGTATTTGGAGTCACCATTACCTAACTTTGTAAGAACTTGTAAAAAGTTACACTTTCAATGTAAAAACAAAGTTCGAAGGCTTATTTTAAGATAAAAACTTTTTAGAATGAAAACGGAGATGAAATTCTGGCATGAAAGCATTGTTCCATCCCTCTTGCACTTCAGTTAAAATAAATTATGGGGTAATGTTCAACAGGCTGTCAGAAGGAGCAGTCAGACCCTTCTCCCATACACTCTACCGTGGCTTTAGCAACACTCTGACTGCAGGCAAGCTGGTTCAGCTCACTGATCCAAAGAGAAAATAATCATTAAAATAGAATTTTTAAGCTTCTCTTGTCCACAGGTTCAACACCTGATCCTGCTTGCAGCGCAACCCCACAGGTACTAGTATTGATGCTGAAGCCATGCAACTGCCCTCCTTAAAGTGCTCCAATTAACTTCCAATCACAGCAGAACTAGAAATAACTTAGGAAAAAGCGCCGCAGGACAGCACCATGAAAACAATCATCCTAAAGTAATTGGTTGCAAGGAATAAAGCACCACAGTATTTGTCATATTTTGTCCTTCAAAACAGAGAATGGATGTGGTTATACTAATTCTGGTTATTTTTAGAATGCTATTTTTCCTCTTCACACTATTCACTGCTCTGCTATTTATGTTACAATTGGAGATGCCTTCCATTTTTCTCATTATGGCGCAAACCTCAGCAGCTTTGGAATGGCCATTAACGCCATACTTAAGGAATACAACTCAATGTGTTGAGATAGTTTGGTGCCTGAGAACACAAACTGGTAGAAACCCACACAGAAGTCAATTAAATGAATTTGTAACGAGCTGTGACAAGTAACACACTAGTAGCTATGTTAACCTTATTTGGGGTGTCAAAAGATGGATCATCTTTCCGTTTTCCACAAAATGTACCTAGATGACCAGCACACAGAAGTACTCTTATGTTTCTAGAGAGTTTTGCCAAAATTGTATTTTCACATCATAGCTATGATGCCGCAGAACCACCGTTTCTATTAACTAACTTCCCGTATTCATCGGGAAAAGCTGTCACAGGCGCCACAGCTGCCTTACTGCTCCAGAAGCACTGGCAAGGTCAACATCAACGCTCCACTCTCTCCATAGTTAATTGAGGTAGCCAATTCTTATTGCCCCACAGATCCCAGTCAAGTCAGATCCATACAAACCGACAGATACCAAAACCACATCTTTTTACAAGGATTCACTGTTACACAAGGCTGTCAAAAACAAAAAAAGGAGTATTACTACATGCAAGAAAATTACCAATCAAGTCAACGCCATTCATCTCCCGGCTATGTCCTCGCCTAGAAGAACTTCCACTAATCCCACGAGTAGTATGTTTTTAGAAAAGTAACACATTTTCATGTTAAAACCTCAAGGCTCCCATACACTGCAGCATCAGTGTAAAATCAAATTTCTCTTCTCTGGAGGAGCATATGAACAACATACACGCTCTATTAGTTTATGTCTTTTCCAGCTAAATACTGAAATCCTGTAACTAGAAATGTACGTAAGTAGGAAGGTTTCTCTCAAAAGACTTTAAAATAGAGATAGCTATTTTTCTGTATTTAAGATGAAATTTATATCTTTGTTAACAACAAGGTATAGCACCATATTGCAGGATGCAGTGTCTATGCAGAGTCCCACTTGAAGTTAGAAGTGCTCATAGATAAAGTTCTCACAGAGAATCCTGACGAAGTCAAAATTAGGAAATAAATTTAAAAACAGCATTTAAACCACAGAAAGTTCACTTACATTGACCAAGCCAAAATAATGCTCATTCACAGGGAACTGTTCAGGACCAATCTCTTTCTCCAAAGCAGAGGCATTGGCGCCCTACAAAGAAACAGTGTCAGACTGTTAGACCAAAAAAAAAAAAAAATTCCTACAAAAATCCAACAGAATTCCTACTACTCCTATAAAAACAAAGCTGCTGAGAAAATAAGTTACTTCCTTTGAGAATTAGCACCTCGTGTTCCCCATGTTCTTCAAAATGAAATCAATATGACATTTTATTATT